CTATGGATACATCTCTCAACACCCATATGAAACAGAACTGTAAATCACTCCCCTTTTAAACTTTATTCTTGTTTTACTGTCATATAGTATTTCATAACTGTTATTCATTTATTCTCTTATTGTTTTATAACTATAACGATCATATAAACGTGTGCCTCGGAAATACTTGTTTACATTAATCGTGACCAAACCGTTCGAGACCCACTGAGATAACTTAGACTAAAGTAACTATCTAAACACTCAGAGAGTCCTTTAGTCCACTGAGACTCTCAGTCTGACAGGAGAGGACTCTCCTCCACCTTGTTGTTGAAAAAGCTCCTTATATCTGTTAGCGTAGCTCGCTAGCACCAGAAGCTAACAACAACGATCTCCGGTACCGGTGCGCTCTCTCTCTCTCGCTCGAAAAACATTTTTCCTCCTGGTCTCTCCTTGCGCAAAGCATTGTGGGGATTTTAAGACCGCGGAGGATACACATGTGCAGCCTCGAAATTTCCCGCAACGAAGGATGCCGGCCTTGGTAGAATTCCAGGGATCCTGGACATTGAAACAGTCCTTCGGTGGGACTCGATGACGTAGCATCCTTGAAATAGTGGCTCTGGAGGAGCCTTCCTCGACATTGAGAAACACCCCCTGTCCAACGCCTAGTGCATGCACAGCGTTAGAAAATCGGGTCTTCAAAATAAAAGTTTGACTTTTTTCCAAAAAAAACTCACACATCTGCGACCCACTCGAAACGGGTCCGCGACCCACTTTTGGGAACCACTGAACTAAAGTGCTTGTATTGGCAGATTATCCTGTGCACTGTGAAATAATGGTCAGGCCTAATTGAAACTAGTAGCCCTACTTCCCTGAATAGTAGATTTTTTAATTCAAAAATGTTTTAATGAAAAACATAATCATCATTAACTACTATTTTTACAGCAGGTTGCAAATAATCACATCATTATTCCATTCCTATTCCACACATAGCCTACCTATCAATGGCTTGTGTGTAGGGATGGGTATCGTTAAGATTTTAACGGTACTACTACTCTTACCGATACTGCTTATCGATCCGGTACTTTAACGGTACTCTTATCGGTTATTTTTGTTACTTTTCAAGGGAAAATCTAAACAAATTGGAAACAGAATTAACATTGCTTTATTTAATCTATAGTGTGGATTCTGGGCTGCTACCACACATAACGTACCTGCAGTAAGTAACTAAGTAGATTTACTCAAGTACTGTACTTAAGTACAATTTTGAGATACTTGTACTTACTTGATTATTTCAAGTGTTGCTACTTTGTACTTCTACTCCTCTACAGTTCAGAGGTAAATGGTGTACACTACATGTATTTAATACCTTTAGTTACTTTACAGATGTGGATGAATGATGTGAAATATAATCAAGTGTTAAATCAGACTTTAGTTCCACCTGGAGTAAATTCACAAGCTACCCTGCAGTATACAAAGTCATTCAAACTAGCTGCACCTTTACCAGCTTTGAGAACACTTTCATGATCAATCATTATAAAACATATCATATATATTATTCTGAAATGGACCAATCTGCACAATCACTACTTTTACTGTATTCTGATGATAATACCTTAATACTTTTACTTGAGTAACATTTTGAATACAGGACTTTTACTGTAACAGAGTATTCCTACACTCTGGTACTTCTACTTTTACTGAAGTACAAGATCTGAGTACTTCTACTTTGACTCAAGTACAAGATCTGAGTTCTTCTACTTTTACTGAAGTACAAGATCTGAGTACTTCTACTTTGACTCAAGTACATGATCTGAGTACTTCTACTTTTACTCAAGTACAAGATCTGAGTACTTCTACTTTTAATCAAGTACATGATCTGAGTACTTCTACTTTTACTCAAGTACATGATCTGAGTACTTCTTCTCCCACCTTTCACGAAATTGGGGCAACAGAGCTAAGTTACATTACATTACATTACATTACATGTCACTTGTTAGACGCTTTTATCCAAAGCGACTTACATACATTCAGTACCGTGGACAATCCCCACAGGAGCAATATGAGGTGAAGTGTCTTGCCCAGGGACACAACGACATGCTGACTGCAGTGGGACTCAAACTTGCTATCCCCTGATTTGAAGTCCAGCACACTATCCACTGAGCCACAGCCACCCCAGCTACGAATTAAGGAAGTCGAAAACTGTGCCTTTCTCCGTCTGAATATGATCCCTTTTGTCCGAACATCTGGCCAAAGAGGGCCAGATGTCCGAAATAAAGGTAGCATTTCTTCTGTATTTCCACTGTAGCGCTGGAATATTCCAATGTCAACATGTTGATGGTGACTTAAAGGCCACAAAACCATACTCTTCACTCAATTAAAGAGAGAGATCTCTCTCTAATGGAGTGAAGAGTATCAGAAATAAGATCACTTTTATGTAGCAATAATATATATGAAATGTATTATATACATATTTTAAATTATATCTAAGAGCAACCAATGTTTGTTGCGGGGGGTGCTGCCCTATAGAGTGGCGAAGTCCCTCCCCTTCCGGTGGACCTCCATGGGACCTTATTTCGGAAAAATTATGTATTGAAGTCAATGGAGAGAGAAAGATTATCTTTCGATCCCGTTTGAATTGTGCCATGAATTACACATATGTTGTTTGTCAATTTAAAAGATCATTTTGCAAGTCAAAAAAAAAAAAATGTGTCGTAAAACTGTGAAGTAACACATTTGTTTGTGTGAAACGCTCAAAGAACTACATCTCTGGTCTCACAGAACAACACACGTCACCAAGATGGCCGTCACTACTGTCTTGTCAACACAAGAGACTACCCTCACTATCACTACAATGAAACACGTCCTGAAGAATGTCATGCAAAGCTGCCTGCCTTCCTTCCTTTGATTCTCTCTGAACTGCCTGGTCGTTTTAATGTTTAATGTCAACCATTTGTGCAGATAGCATGAAGTAGAGAAGATCGCTAGCGTTAGCGTTAGCATTTCTCCCCCGGGCTTAAATTGTGTATTATAGAATGATCACACCGGTGACAGTACTATTCAAAGGGTTCACGAAATATGACTACTACTCTTACTGTTTAACATTTTTGGGTTACTTAATGTTACTTCATGTTAAGGCTAATAAAAATGACAAGGCTGTAATGCTAACTAACGTGCTAGCTACTAGCTAGGTAGCTAACTTGATCCACACACTCCTCTTTCATCAGACGGGAAGCGAAAGAACGAGCAAGACCCATTGCTGGTATAATAACAACCTGGTACTAAGCACACAGGCACAAAGTTATCTTATCTTAGCCAGCGCCATATAGATAGATTCTATCTATATGGCGCTGATCGTATATATACGGTATTATACGTGTATCGTAGTGTCTCAATTGTGACATCACTTACGCGACTCTGGGATTTGTAGTCTTTCTAGTTTCGTATTTTTCAAAGTCTTATATTTCAACAGTTTTAAGACAAACTGTGACTTTTTTGACATGGAAATGATTTTTTAAGATTGACAAACATCATATGTGTAATTCATGGCACAATTCAAACGGGATCGAAAGATAAGTTTTCTCTCCCCATTGACTTCAATGCATAATTTTTCCGAAATAAGGTCCCATACCCCGGAAGTAAGTGGGAGGGACTTCGCCACTCTATTGTAAACGTAAATACTTACATGTGTTCTTTGCAATACTAAACCCCCCCACCAGAGGGAGCCACGGCTCTTGGGGTCAGCTTCGTGATTTTATTCCCCTACATTCTGTCAGATTTACAACATCTCCAATAATCATCAGAGTATGACAACACAAGCTTCTAGTCTATTCTAATGCACTCCGTTATGGATCACTCACTGCTGTCAGTCCTCAATGTAACATTACATAACATCAACAGATTATCTAATGACAACCATGTATCTCCAAATCTGTTCATTTTAGTTAGGGGGTTCTCACAGGATAGCGACACACACATCTGACGATCTTAAAGAATATGATCCATTGCTGAGTAAACAGTATAAAAAGGACAATGAGCACAACCTTAAAATGCAACATAAAATATTGCAGAAATAACATGAATTAAATAAAAACATCACATACATTTGACTGCCTTTTTACGTGTCTTTTTGTTTGTTGCACATGTCAGGAATGAAATGAATCTTTTCTGGTTTCAAATGACGACAATGCTTTGGTTATATCTTTGACAATTTAAAATGCATTCTTATTATGATCTGATTATCAAATCTACATATAGTCACAAACATATTTTTTCTTTGTTCATATTCAAATTAGCCCTTTATTTAAACATCAACACTTTTTATAATAATTCAAATATGTTTATCATGATCATTGTCAGTTTCTAATGTGATCTGAACACCAGGTTGTATAACAGTGTCTGACTGCAGCTCTCCTCTCGGGAGATGACGTGTCTGCGTGACGCTGGTGGAGGTGTGGAGGAAAATGTATTTTTACTTTGGAAGAGGACGATGATATTTCAGGTAACACGATGGATAAAGACTTCCGCTTTGCAATTACATCCTTCAGAATAAAAGTAAAACATGCATTTTTATATATACAGTCTATGATTTTTCCATATAAATTATTAAAGTAATAACATTATTACATTGTATGACTATTACACTCAGGTCTGTTCTCTGTCGTGGCTTTATAATGACAGCTTGTTTCAGTTGTGTGTGCATTTCGTGTATTTTATATGTCTGTCTGAGGCCTGTAGGGTTGTAAATCACGCTTTTATTCTGAAAAGCAAAGGATAAACCCCAGAGGAAGGCTTCTTTCCTGTTTTTCCGGCGGAGCGGAGGAAGGAGGTGATGGTGATGGAGGGAGGAGGAGGAAGAGGAGGGCTGATGTGTGCTGATCAGAAGCAGGTCTGATGATGATGATGGTGATGATGATGATGATGCTATGAGTCAGAGAGCGGAGGGTTCAGGATGCTCACAGAGTAGAGAAGCCCCGCACACAGAGACAGAGGACCGGCTGAGACACGGTGAGTCCGCGCATCTAACCCACACAGCCCGGCGGCCGAGCACCTTACTCGGTCTGATCTCACCAGCCGGCTCGGTGCTGTGGAGCTCTCATTTCATCACTGTGTGCGTGTGTGAGACAATGCGCGTGCCACGCTGTGCGCGCCCGTTCCTGATCTTAATATTGATGGGAGTCAGCCTGATTTACATGATGTGAGGAGATAATGAGACTGCAGCTGACTGAACCTGAGAACAAAGCAGCAGGTCAGCTGAGTGTGTGTGTGTGTGTGTGTGTGTGTGTGTGTGTGTGTGTGTGTGTGTGTGTGTGTGTGTGTGTGTGTGTGTGTGTGTGTGTGTGTGTGTGTGTGTGCGTGCGTGTGTGTGTGTTGTATAAGTATGTTCGTGACGACAGAGAACACGACAATCTTTTACTGCTGTCAAATATATCAGGAGGAGTCAGCACAGAAATATTCTAGGAATACTACAGTGACTCCTAAATTACAGAGTATGCAGAATTTAAATCAGTAGTCTGATCCAAATAAAATAAATGTACTCCACTACATCATTTTCTATATTTGAATAGTAACCATATTGGAACAAATTCCAAGGCATTGTCTTCAGCTCACAAAAAACAATATACATTGTTTTTTGGAGTATTGAAGCTGCAGCAGATTGTTCAAAATAAAATAGAGAGATTATTAAATGTGGAAATGTTAGGAGTCGCACTGAAGGTGTGAAACTGCAGCAGGGATTCTGTGTGTGTGTGTGTGTGTGTGTGTGTGTGTGTGTGTGTGTGTGTGTGTGTGTTTTATACTTCTTTTGATTTTAGTCCGATGTTGTGAAGTTGACATGTTTCCATTTTCCAGATAGTGGAAATAATACAGCAGGCATTGATTATTTCCTACTGTAGCTAGCATATCATTTTACTAACATGCTAACGGTCTGCTGTTCCTATTAAAACACTAATAGTTTTGTATCATACCATTACACGTTATGTATGACCTTCTAAATGTATAAGAAATGTGACATAAGAACTGATTTTAATTAATGAGTGATAACCCACCATCAGTCTGAACTTTGTGCAGTGCATTATGGTAAAATAATGTCCTGTGCTCTGTCTGCACTGATGTTTTTTCAGTACAACAAGGTTCTGTCCTGGGCTCATTACTGTTTTAGTCTCAGGTGTATTTGATCAGAGGTGCTTGTTATTTTACTATTTGGTCTCAATAAGACAGAAGTAAACTAGGATGCATTTCACAGATAAACAAACATTCAATGAATTGTGTTGCTTACAGCAAAAAAAAAGGCACAATATTTGTTGTGTTTTACAAAACCTTTTTTACAACACTTTTACAAAGTAGCCGAGTATTATGGGTAGTGTAGTATTCAGACAGTATTTAGACAGGTATTTTTTACATTCACCTTATATTTTGTGGGTAAAGTGTTTTAACGTGCTTTTACATTTGACAATGATCCAGCATGGTTGAACTCCTTTTGGAACTGGGACTCTCACAGATGAAACTATAAGGATGTCCATCAGTTTTTCATCCATCCCTCAGCTCAGTTTGTAGTTTCTAATGATCCTAAACGCCTGACTGTGGCTGCAGATCATCAGATCTACAGATGTTCATTTCTGTAGCTGTGACGCTGCTGGCTCAGTTGGTGGTGTTTTCCCTGCCACCCGCCTCCGCACAGGAAGTGACGTAATAAGATGTGGGAAGGCGGGTAACCATGACAACTGCCGTGCCGATGATGACATGTTTGCACTTGTCTGCGTGTGTATAAATCTCTGCTGTCTGTCTCTCCTTCCCTCTGTTTCGAGCAATGTCGCCACGGCAACCAGACAACTCACACACACACACACACACACACACACACACACACACACACACACACACACACACACACACACACACACACACACACACACACAGTACATTCAGATGCTCCCATGGTTACATTCAGTAACACAATGGATGCTATCAGGAGGCAGGTGTGTGTGTGTGTGTGTGTGTGTGTGTGTGTGTGTGTGTGTGTGTGTGTGTGTGTGTGTGTGTGTGTGTGTGTGTGTGTGTGTGTGTGTCTGATTGATTTACAAGCTGATGATCAGTCACTGGTCTTAACTTGTGTTGGAGATAAGGAGCACTGACGTTGGTGGGGGGCTCAAGGCTCAAGGCTCACATGAATGAGGTGTGAATACTGCCCTAATGCAAGTGTATAATAGCCATTTTATTTCTCAGGTTTTAATCTTACAACATTTAAATTGTTTTATTTTAAGTCCTACATATCACTGAATGAGGTAACACAATGGAGATTGAGCCTATATGGCCCACTCATGAAAGCCATTGGATTTGCAGTAATACGAGCAGGCTGTCTGGAGACAAGCGGCCTACAGCTAATGGTCTGTCATGTACCAGCTGTGAAAACAAATATCCCTCTGGAACACTAAATGAAAATCTAGTAATGCATTTTCCATCACCCAGTTGTTGTTCCACCACAGACGCAATAGGCGAAGCTAATGCAACAGAATCGCCCTTCAGCTCACTTGTGTGTCAAGGGACCTTTTTTTACCAAACTCTGTAAGCCCAGAAAATGTTTGGTTTTGCTGAATAAAAGAAAAAAGTGATAGCAAGTCCCAGGAGCCCACTTACTATTGGTAACGATGTTTGGCTTTCTGGGAAGTGCAAAACAAACCTGCAATTACCATTTAGCGACAAAGGTGGCGCCAAAGAGAACAAACAGAGCTCTGCAAGATAGCAACTTAAAATATTGAAGCAGATTAAAAGCAGGTGTAGACATTATACACTGAATACATTTCAGAGTGCTTTTTACTATTAAATGTAAAAAGTGAATTTGATGAGCTGAGTTTGAACTCTTGTGCTCTGATGCTATGTAGAGGTTGTACACTGAGAGCTTGGCTCATACAGCAGGAAGCAGTGGGAGGAAGAACATGATGGTGTGATAGTATCTCCTGTTCCACAGACGTAATCACAGTCTGGATCTGTGAGTAGCAGGAGGCTGTCAACTCTCAGTGAGATTAATAAAAGGGTGGATGGGATATTTATTGCAGAGAAATGAAGTTTGCTGTAGCATTAAACACAGAAAACTTGAGACACAGGAGGAACGGACTCCTGCGTAGTGCTTTCTCTCCTCTGTAGTGTTTTGGTTGTTATCAGCGCTCCTCTTCAATGAGATGCAAAGCTCTAATCAATGCTCGTTAGTCATTCTGTCGGGAATACTGCTCGGCATGCTGGGTAACTCCCCAAGGCCTTAGTTCCATCTTTTTAATTCCTTCCCGTTCGTCACGTTATCTGTGAATACACTGAGGGTTCAGAGAGGACGAGGCTGCCTCACGTGTTTCAGTCACTGAACATTGAAATGTCACTGGAGGATTTATTCATCTCTCACTGTCTGTTAGATAGGAGACACACAAATGATCATATGCATTCGTCCTATCATTCTTATTCACATATTATTTGTGATCTGTTTGAGCTGAATATATAATATAATTTATTTTAAAGTTGTAGGCAATGTAGTAGTTTATAGGAAGTTAAGTAAAGTGAGGAAAGTACTTTCTTAACCAGAGTTAAGCGTTCTGTAACCAAAAAGTCAATACATTTACCAACGTTTTAAAATAAAGCTAACCTGAACAAAACTGCTTAACTGAACTGTAAACGAATAAAGAATATATAACAAAGCACCTATAAATATATGAGTTGTGAAGTGCGGTGTTTATACAATTAACAGGGTTAGCATCCCATCCTCTGCCCTTGTCCACAAATGTCTGGTTCCAGTAGCGCATTTCTCTAAACCTTTAATAATCGCTAAAACAAACAGTTTCCAAATGGTTTTATTTTCTAAACTAAACTGTAATCTAACCTAAACCAAACAGTTTGACTTTTAAAGCAATCGTTCAACAGCTGGGCGTGCTAACAGTGGATTATTATGATGGGGATGATCTGCACTTGAAGCAGGTTGTGTGTCCAGCTGAAGGACTCTCCCAGAATACAGCAGAGTGCTTCTCATTGACCAGTTACTGTTGATGGCACTTAGACTAATTTCATTCAAATGGTTTGTCTGTTCCTGCCTCGCTCTGTGCGAACAGTGTGATCAGAAGCTTATGCTCCTCTCGCTTTCCCTTTTAACCCTGCTTTGAGAATATTACCTGATTTCAACGTTTCTATTATTTTTCATTTTATTTGCTTCATTTGCCACAAATGGTGATATCCATTCAGGAATATCTAATACAAAAATTCTAACTAGAATCTTAATTAACGTAAATCTCTGAGATTCATACATGATATTTATACAAAGGGCTAATCCTTCAGTAATCCTTCAGTACTGAATGATGTGTGATTTAACATTTCCAGATTTCTGCCATAATCCAACTTCTCCTCTTCTCCCCTCCTCTCCAGCATAAAGTCAGATATCCAGAGCAGCAGGCGGACCTTAACTCCCAGAATGCCTGAGCAGAGTAACGATTACCGGGTGGTGGTGTTTGGAGCCGGTGGAGTGGGGAAGAGCTCGCTGGTCCTTCGGTTTGTCAAAGGCACCTTCAGAGACACCTACATCCCCACTGTGGAGGACACGTACAGACAGGTAGGTCTCTCTGGTGTCACTTCAACTCTTGTAATAACACACTTTTAGGAATATTGATTAGAAGCTGTTCTCTCTGCAGGTGATCAGCTGTGACAAGAGCGTCTGTACGCTGCAGATTACTGACACAACAGGAAGTCACCAGTTTCCCGCCATGCAGCGACTTTCTATCTCTAAGGGCCACGCCTTCATCCTAGTGTTCTCCATCACCAGCCGCCAATCACTGGAGGAGTTGAAACCCATATACCAACAGGTTAGTCTTTATTTAGCTAATGTAGGCTCTTTTAAGGGTACTTTTACCTTAACTTTATTTCTTATGAGCAAATCTTAGAGGATCCTCAGAGTTGTCAACAGGATAAATAGATATCAAATATCTTCTGTCTGAACTTGGTCTGATTTTCTGCGTGCAGATTAGCATTGACATTCAGTCCAGAGTAAAATATTGATTTGATATGTATTAGTCTCAGCTCAGCAGCAGTAAAACGTGTTTAAAGCTGAAAAGCTGCATCAGAAAGGTTCTCTAGAAATGTTGTCTTGACTTGATGACATTTCCCTCCAGGTCCTTGCCATCAAAGGTACGGTGGAATCCATTCCCATCATGCTTGTGGGCAACAAAAGCGATGAGACGGCTCAGCGCGAGGTGGACACGAAGGTGGCCGAGGCTCAGGCTGCAGCCTGGAAGTGTGCCTTCATGGAGACATCGGCCAAGACAAACTCCAACGTGAAGGAACTGTTCCAGGAGCTGCTGTCCCTGGAGAAGAAGAGGGACATGAGCCTGAGCATTGACGGCAAGCGCTCAGGGAAACAGAAACGAGCCGACAAGTTGAAGGGGAAGTGCAGCATCATGTAGAGCAGGCGCTGGACTCGCTGTACAGATGTGGAAACAGGAGGGGGAGTCTGCTAATGAACTCCCATAGAGATCCCCCCCCCCCCCCCCCCCCCCCCTGAACTGGATTGTGTTTGTGGCTGCGAACACTTACATATACAGACCCATCAACCATTACACTCATATTATAATAGAGGAATACTCCACTGATTTTATTTTGTGTATCTTTGGCCAAGCCATGAATGTAACTTTTTGTAGAAGCATAATGTTAATAAGATAGAACTTTATTTAGTCCTGTGGGAAATTGTTGAGCAGCAGACGCAGTACAAAGATTAGAGGATTAAAGATTGTTGAAGGAATAAGTAAACCAGAGACCAGATAACATTACAGAAATAATGGTTCTGAGATTTGAAGAGGTGTTTTCTATCCGATGCTATATGTAACCTCACAAAACAATGGAGCTAGCTAACAATATGCTAACTCTTGGCTTGGAAGTATGTAACAGAGAACTAAAGTAGAGTAGATCAATTCTTTAAACTTGTATTCTTGTGATTTTGGTTTAAAAACAAACCCTTAACTCTGCTGTACCGTAGCTACATGCTAAGCTAGGATTTGAGCATCATGGTCACCTCGCTAAAAGGCGCACTTTAGCTTCTCCCAGCGTCCTCTCCTGTGGTTTGGTTGGTGCCCTGAGTAGAGGATGGGAGCCCTGGTTTACTTTTTTCATATCTGCGACCACACCCTGTGGTTAGCTGCCTCATGACTTTTCGCCACATATTGATCATAAATGCAGCCATTAAACAGCTACAGATAAGGCTGAAAACAGTGAAGTATTCCTTTATCTAACAGGACGAGCAACGATTCCATTATAATTCTATTCTTGCTGGCTGTGACCGCAAACTACAGGATGTTCCCTGTCGGTTCTGCTTCCTGCTCATCATTAGAAGAACGCCTACATACATAAAGGTCTTTACCCTACACATTAACAGCACGGCCACTCTAATACGCTGACAGACTGCAGGACAAACAGCAGACGCTCTTAAAACATCAGGAAAGTCAAAATGGCTTCAGTGAATTCCACAAGCACATGCCGGCCTTCCACTCTTGTGTTCATTTCTGTCAGGCTCTCTGGAGACAACATCCGTTAGCAAAAATAGCTGGACAAACTGTATATATCATTTAAAGAGACGGGGACATTTCTGGAATCATCATTAGTGTCATCTTCATCACACCACAATCTCCCAAACATTTAAAAGCAGGTTGAGGTGCATTTTGGGCAATGTAGGCGCCAGGTTTGGCAAATGTTATGTGTAATAAAATACACACTTATTGACGTTCATTAGTCTGACAATGTGAAGTGCTCTTTTAAAAAAAGCAGAGTTTAAAGTAGAGATCCATTATATGGCTCCACGGAGCTTTTGAGCACTTTAAGGACTTTTTTGGCATCAAGTTTCAATAGAAAGCTTATAACACAAATGAATTACGTTGCTTTTGTCAGCTGTAATTAAAGTTTCTTCATTGTTCGCCAGGACCAATACTAAAAGCTTTCTGTGTTTCATGCCGATCAGACGGACTTGAAGGGTGTGCTTCCTCTCTCCTGATGGAGCTAGTTCAAGGCTGCTGTTTTTAAATTGGTTGGTTTGGGTAAGCGCTGCCCCACGTGGTCTTGCTGATGTAGTGCCACTGCTGGTTTCCGAAAGTTAAACAAGATAATTATATTTCATTAAAATGTTTTACTTTCTACTTCTTTCCCCCCCTTTTTAAATCCTCTCTGTACTGATATCCCTCTTCTGAATGATGAAGAAAATGTTAAATTGTTCCTTTAACTATCAGTCAAGATAGTCCCTTGTGTGAGCATCAGCTGTATATTGCAAATGTCTTTCCTACCACTTTACTTGACAGTTTGATATATTCTTGAACATAAGTGGGCTTAAAACTTTACAAAGCACAAACACAACAAACTAAAGCAAGCACACGTTGATCCTGCAGAAAATCTGTTACATTATGTTCATGTCAGTCCATGCTGATCACATTTATGCACTTTTGAAAAATACTTTATGTTTTTTTCGACTGTAAAAAGCTTTATAACAAGTTTTGTGTCCAAGAGGTCACCGTATCCTCCGTGTTACATCAGTCTGGCTTCAGCAATATTAAAATGTCTTTACTCCGTATGCGGGGAACGCTGGGGCTGCAGGAGGAAAATAAATAACTTTACATTCCAGTTTTTAAATGGTTCACTTCCCTTGTTCATGTCATTTTCATCAAAATGTCATCAATCTTTTTTTTTCATCATGCACAACTTCATGTCATTCTCGGAACAGATAAGTGCTGTCACATGGCAGGTTTGTTTTGGAAAGAAAGATTACATTTTGCTGGATATAAATTTGTATTTACAATCAGAGAATTTTGAATGCAATTGTGGATTTCCAGAGAATGTTGCTTAAAAAAGCTCTTAATTTATAATAATAATAACGCTCCGTATTTAAATAGCACATTTTAAAACATACACATTGCTTTGCAGTAAAAAATAATAAATACGATATCATTCAAAACATCAGACAAGATACAATTTCAACAATTTCAGCAGATATTAGCAGTTAGACAAATCCAGAAGAGTAAAGTTAGTTTTAAGAAGAGATTCAAAAATCTGGTAACCAGTGAAGAGAATCTATATCATCATGAATAATAATAATGAAAAGATCATGAATAATGCAAGCCTGGAGGAAATAAAGACATGGATACATCTTCAGATCTGCAAATGACATAACACAGCGTATCACCAGTGTAACAATTATTATGTCTAATCATAATGTACCCCAGGGGCAGGATGTATAGTAAATAACAGGGGGCCCAGAATAGACCCCTGAGGGACCCCAAGGTAGATGTATCATTCATGTATCTTTTGCATATTGTATTTCTTGTATGTTGCACTATGTGTTTGCTACCAACTCAACACCTGCCCCAGTGCAGGTCCAAGCGGCAGGAAAGAGAAGGAACTATGATCCAAAACAGTCGAACAGATCAAACAAAGCTACCAACATGTTGGCAGCTGTCTACAAACTTTTATTCACACAACAGTAGTGCATTTTGCTTTACAACTAATCAAATGTTGGTATATATTTCAACAAAAGAAATATCAGAATCAGAAACATGTGGGATTGAAGGGTCATTACAAGATGTTTTCCTCCTGAGGACTTCAGAGGACACACTGCTGAGACCGTCCCTGAAGCTCTGTGTTCTGGCTTCACATTTGTTTTTAGGGTAAATGGAACTATTCTCATGTGAAGGAAGTGATTGAATAAAAATAGTGCTGTTGTACAGAAAAATGTTTGTTTATTTTATACAATGCTGATGAAAACAATGTTAAACCTGATTTAACAACATATTTCAAACATGTATGAAGTTCAGTCTCTGCACACATCTTTGATATTGTTCAGGCAAGATAAACACAAAATCACATTAGATATAACATTTTGTCTTAGACAAATATTTTCAGGACAAAAGTAAATTAGAATATTGTTTTCCAATGAATCCCAAAACAACAAGAAATTGTTTAAATACCTGACAGTGTGTTCAGGGATTCAGCCCTGAGCTGCGTCTCGAAGGCAGAAAGACCTCCAATGTTAGGCTCTCTAAATATTTTAATTTATTCTTTCTGCTGCTGACAGTCGCTAGAAAGATCTTGCACATCAAAAAGATTTACAGACTGGTGTGTTTGTCTGTGAGATGTGTTTTACAGAACAGGCGCTCAATAGGCGCAAACAACTTCACGGCGTATACAGCCACCCGAAGTCCCCGGCCGGAAGTCCCCGGAGTTGGGGACTGGCTTCAGTAGAAGCTGCTGGGACTCCCAGCAGCTTCTACTGAAGCCTTCCGAGTAAATCGCCAGAACGCCGACACCTCCTCATCTCCACCGCTCCCATGTTTTTTGTATTGCCATAAGTTAGTCTCTCTGCGTTTCTGCGCTGGGCTAATGCTAATGCTAATCATGCTAATGCCAGGATAATAAAATGGCGGTTTCACAAAACTTTTTGGGAGTTTTACGGGCCGTGGTTTGCAATCCGCCCAGCCAATCAGAAATAGGAACCTTTTTCTCCCACGAATAAAACTGACGGAAAAGGCGGTAAAAAGGTTCTCATGAACTCATTTTAGTTCCGGATTTTTTTGGTGTGAACGCAACATTTCGGAACTATATCGGAACTAAAGTGGGAAAAGTACTGCGGTGTGAAAGCGCCTCATGGTCCTTCGCAGCCAAGGTTAAAATCCGACCCATGGCCCTTTGCTGCATATAATCCCCACCCTCTCGCCCCATTTTCTGTCTATTTTCATCTTTAAAACACTATCTTATTAAAATTAAAATATCTGTTAAAGAACAAGATAATTGGGCACTGTCTTCCTTTATTAACTGTGATCCAATCCTCTGCCCTTCATCAGGTAAAACTCACACAGAAAAAGTAAATAAAGTAACAAGAATTGAACGTGAGCTGTGAAACAGTTTTGCTTCTTTGCATTTCTAGTTAAAATACTAGTTTATTAATACCCAGATGGGAAATGGTTTTGGGTGTAGAACACTGATAAATTAGAAAGGACCCAGAGACTAGTGCGGCCCAGGAGCCCAACTAAAAGTGAAACTGATGCACCTACAGTAAAGAAGACTGTCAAAACAGACCATACACAAATCCAACCCAAATCAGATTAAAAAATAAATAAATCAAATAATTCAGACGTTTTGGGCATCATTATATGTATGGGCAAGTACTTTCCCTACTACTCTCCATAAAAATGTGTCCCTTCAGAAATGCTTCGTAAGTATTGCACTAAGATCTCTGCTCCTTTATTACACAGGCTTCAGATTCTTATAGTTTACGACATCAACGTTTATCAAATTAATGTTTTTATTTACAAAATATATTCAGGAAAAGGGATCATTCCCATGCACTTCAATACATAGCCTACTTAATACAAAATGTACAGGTTAATTTTTATGCAACAAGCCACTCATCAAATATCCACCCCCCTATGAGTCTCACTCGTAGAGCTCAGTTTACCATCCGTTTCAGTAGAACAAAGATCTGGAATGGCCTTACCAACCAG